AAGCAGACAGGAGCCCGAGAGACCCTTGGAGGAAGTCAGCATTGATCTCATGTGTCTCAGACGACCGGACATTTAACAACGACCTTCATAAACCTACCTGACAGGAAAGACTTGATAACCAATAGAACTCGCCCAAAGATTCCATAGCTGGACAGTTTGTAGCAAAGATACAATTATATCTGTGCAATATCTAACCCACTTTCAAAACATTCAAACACAAGTTGATGCATGAAATCTATTCTGGATAAATACTGTAGAGTAATTGGCCATGGTTAAATGCAACTGGCAGAAATACCCCATAAATAGAATTGGCAAAGTTTGCAATAAGCAAAAACGAAAGAAAGAAAAGAACATGGCAAAAGATAATACTAAGCAAACAATATATACAAGACAAAAGAAGGCAAAGAAACAATAACAAGGCAAAAACTTCATAAAGTAAGAATGGTGTTAACACACAAAAGAGAAACAGACAAGTGATCGCACTGTTCAGACTTCAAGACTAGAAAGGACAGAAATAAAGTGGATGAGACCAAGAAGTGGTCTCTCTTATTGACTAGGAAGAAATCCCAGCATACATCTGTACAATTTGTCAATAAATTTTTAGGGGGGGGGGTTGTTTTGTAGTCAGGAATTAGAACCAACAAATACAGAGATCATAAGAGTTTTTTTGAAGACAATAACAATTCACTTGTAAAAGATGTCATTACTTGAGATACAAATATCATAATCACAATTGGTTAACCTAGAATAAAATAATGTTTGTTTTGTTTAAAATTATTGGCTTATTTTTTTCTGTCAAAACATATTTCATCAAATATAGCTTAATAGGTTGCATAATTCATTTCACTTACAGAAAATGAAATTGGTAAATTCAAATTTTGGTTAAGGCATTTACAATCAGTCAGTTATGTGCCATGCATGATACACGCTTAGGCAATCATGTATCTTTCGATACATGACTGACAAGGCAGATTTTTTTCCACAGTAGGTTGTCATTTCTTTCTGCAGTAGACCAGTTGCCACCCAAAGCTACAGAACTCGGTCTGTCCTGGTATTTGCCCATAGTTGGGGGGAGATAAAAAGAGGATTCATACATTTCCCAAGGGTATTAGCATGTAAGTGAATATAATGGATTCGAGTGAATTTTTTTGATTTACGAACTTCATTCACTTTCTTCCACACATAACAGGAGTTCATGTGATCAAATAATTCGTGCCATGCGTTTCAGGTCATTGTCATGTTGAAACGTCAAGTGATGCCCTAAAGACAACTTTCATGCACTTTGCTTTATATTATTTTTAAGAATATCTTTATCGTTGCTCTTTATCCACGATACCCTATACTCTCACTGGCTCTCCTCTTCCAGAAGCAACAAAACATCCTCAAAGTAGAATACCCTGAGCACGGTGCTTAATTGTAGAGAGGCTATTTTTTGATTTCAGTCAGTCACATGTGCCATGCATGATACACGCTTAGGCGATCATGTATATTTCAATACATGACTGACGAGGCAGATTTTTTTCTCACAGTAGGTTGTCATTTTTTTGTACAGTAGACCAGTTGCCATCCAAGGCTATAGATCCCAATCTGTCTTGCCATTTACCCATAGCTGAGGGGAGAAGAGGAGGATTCATACCTTTCCTAAGGGTATTAGCGTGTAAGTGAATGTAATGGGTTCAACTGGAATTCGAACTCGGCTCTCCGCTATCCATTACTCCACTGCACCTCCTCACTTAACATTAATATCCTCAAAATCCATCTTTTCTCCTTGCAGCTATGAGGAAATAGATTCTTTTATTTGACCTTCATTGACAACTATTCTAGCTGAAGGATATTTCTAATTTTTAAGCAGTTAATATATTTTTTAAACATATTTTAAACATATTTCATTGAATATAGCTTAATAGAATGCATAATCCATCTTACTTACAAAAAATGAAATTGGTAAATTCAAATTTTGGTTAAGGCATTTACAATCAGTTAGTTGTGCCATACATGCTTAGGCGATCATGTATCTTTCGATACATGATTGACAAGGCAGATGTTTTCCGTAGTAGGTTGCCATTTCTTTCTGCGGTAGACCAGTTGCCATCCAAGTCTATAGAACCTGGTCTGTCCTGCTATTTACGCATGGCTGGAGGGAGAAGAAGAGGACTCATACCTTTCCCAAGGGTATTAGGATGTAAGTGAATGTAATGGATTTGACTGGAATTTGAACTTGGCTCTCTGATTATGCAATACAAGCCACTATCCATTACTTCACCATAACTCCACACTTAATATTAATATCCTCAAAATCCATCTTTTCTCCTCGCAGCTATGAAGAAATAGATTCTTCTATTCAACCTTCATTGGCAACCATTCTAGCTGAAGGATATTTCTGATTTTTAAGCAATTAATATCTTTTTTTAATTCAACATTATTTCTTATTATGATAAAAGTGCATACACACGTTTGAGTATAGATCTTTTTTGAAATTAATGTCTACTGGCTTAGAGACTAAATACCCTATGAAAGAAAATGTACCTTTCAATAGATGAACCTGTAGAAAGAACAGGTAAAAGAGTAGGGTAAACGAGGCTCTTTATCCACCTAGAAGGCCAACTTTAGGCAAATTTGGACCTTCATACCCACAAATAAACAGACTGTCAAGAGGATGTTTTTTTTCATTGACCCTGCTATTATTTTAACTACCTTCACTCCTCGACAATGTTTTTTGTTTTAAAAAGCAATGGTTAGAATTGTAATAAAAGTGAACTTTTTATTGGAATGGTTGGCAAAATATTGGCTAATTGCCAGTCAATTCGAATTTTATAAAATGGTCGATAAGTTGGTCCAGATATTTTAATAATTTAGCAAATGTTTATAAATTTATGAATAAAAAATTGTTTTCATATTTATTCTATGAATTAGAAAATGATAAATATTTCATTGCATTAGTTTTAATACAATTGTAGTAATTTTCAGAATGTAAATATAAAATTATTATTGTAAATAAGCAATCTAATTAATAAATAGTGATTAATATTTTCGTTGAAATTTCTCAAGAACAAAAAAAATGTATAAATTCACTTTTATGATATTGTAGTGAGATGCAAATTAGTATAATTTGCATATGAGCAGGTAGCTCATATGATAAATGGACACCAACTAGAACAGAGGTAGAATGCTTACTTAGCAGGATACACGACACAACAGATATGTTTACTTTAGGTTTTATTACAATTCTAACTATTGCTTCTTAAAAGAAAAAATATTGACAAGGAATTAAGTTAATTAAAATAATAGCAGTGTCACGGGAAAAACTTTCCGTTTGAAACTCCTTTTTTTTTGGTGGGCAGAAACGTCCAAATTTGCCAAACTCCGAATTCAAAACCATATAGAACAAGGCAATAAGAAACCAAACCATTAATTTTCTCAAGAACTGGCACCGCACAGTTTAAAAATGTTAAATAAAAAGAAAATATTGAAAGGCATAATTACAAATATCCTAACGGTACATAGCATTAAAGAAAAACAAAATATAACTTCCTGGTTTCTCTCTCCTCGACAGTTTTAACCTAAAATAAATCCTTTCATCCTGGAAGTAATAATTCTGGCTTCGTATCACGGCATAATAGGCTGTAATTATGCCGTAATATTGTTGATTTAAGGATGATTTGGTTCTGATTTCAATGTTCCTCTCGAGGTGTGTGTTATAATTACATATTTAGCCTTGTAGCAGAATTGTTCCTCCTTAATTATTCATGATTGCCTAATATCATTAAGACAGAGTATAATTACTGGATCTAACTTTTGCTAACAAAATAATTGATTAATGTTTTATTCTCATAACAATAAAACATGTCAGAGATGAGAAAAACATCACGTTTTCCTCTTACATTAAACACCAGCGATTTACTGGCAACCTTGGTTACAGAAGCTCATTTAGACTCTCTACTTAACAGGACCAACAGAGATCAAATAATAAAAATAATACACCTGTGACCTAATTATTTACATCTCAGATCTTTAAATCAGAAGGATTTTTAGAAATTTAAACGATATTTAAATTTTTCCAAACCGAAACTATAATACAAGCAGTGATGGTACATACCCTGAATGAATCATAAACATTCACAATATGGATTTAATAATTAGTGTATAGATCAAATTTAGTATAAGAGAAAAAGAAATTGAACATAGAATATGCTACAAAACAGAAACATTAACCTGAAAACTTGAGTAACTTTCATGGTAACTGCTCCGAGGAGCTGTTTTCGCTGGTTCCTTCATGAATTTAACCGTTCTACTAGGCTGGCATCTCGCTCACAACCTTTCACTGTTGAAACTGTTAAATGTAGCCATCTCTTCTACTCCAATAGCTTCATGTCTTGCACCTCTTGCCTGTAGAACTCCCTCCCATCTTCCTGTTTCCCTGATAGCTATAATCTCCAACTATTCAAATGTAATGTCAACTGACGTCTTTAGATGTCCTGATCTACCTCCCATTGTTCTCTTCATCCTTTTATTTGCTCTAGCTCCAACTCTCGGCAACCCCTTGCATGCTAGTGGCTTCCTGCCTTGCTTTGGGTGAAATGCTTAAAAAAAAACAAAAAACAAAAAAAACTTAAATAGCCTCGTTAGATTGAGACTTTCATATGGATGTCTCACATGGTACCAAACACGTTCAAAAATATCTAAACTCTAAGTTGCATACAAATGCTTTTTAATTGATTTATTCATTAATTTTCTATGGCTTATCAACCCTTTTCAGGTTATTTAAAGCCAGAAAATATTTTTTACATTGTAAGAAGTTCTTTTTTTAAGATAATAATAGTTTAGTGATACAAATCTTACTAATTAATCCATAGCTGAGAGGAGAAGAGGTGGATTCATAAGTTTTCCAAGGGTATTTGCACCTAAGTGAATATAACAAGACCAATGGGAATAGGAACTTGGATCTCCGATTAATAATTCCAAGCCATTATTGATTGCACCACCTGCACATCCAAGTTTAAAACACCTGGTATTCCCAAGTGGTCACCCATCTAGGTACTGACCAAGCTTGACATTGCTTAACTTTGGTGATCATACAGGAATTGGCATTTTAGCATAATATGACTGTAAGCCTATACTCTTTTGCTTCTGTAGTTCCTTTTGTTAGATTCGGTCAATGTTGATTCTTAGTATTCTATGTGTTGTAACTGATCAGGACATTCAGCATGATGTTGCCATGAGCTGCACTTGGTTAAAATTGGCTCTGAGTGTGTGATGCCTATAAATCTTGATGAAGACCCTCCTACAAAATTTGAGGAATGGCACTACAGGATTCCATACTGTTATGGTAATTTACCCACGCATGCATGGACTCTCCCAGCTATAAATAGGAGCAGGTACTGCCTTTTGGAGAGGGAATTTTCCAGCAGTCAGCTCTGACAGTTGGACCAAACATTCTTGCTACAACATTCTTGTTTATATATGTTTGTATTACTGTTTCTGTTAATATATTTGTTTAACTCAGTTCCTCTCTTTGTGTCTTTATTTCTGGCCCTAACAAGGCCACAACACAAAGAACTCTAACATTGCAGAAACCACATCAATTGAGGACTTTCAACAGCAGTAAAATGATAAATATATAGCACATGCAACTTGGAGAGAAAATAGTAACATAATCATGATGTTGACATTCTACACTACTTCAAACAAAAGGTTAGGAAGGAAACCCTCATCAATACTGGAAAGAGCAATAACAGCTACTGGACTTGTGTAACTTATTTTCCTAAGAAATCTTTTAAGTAGTACAACCTGCTTACACAGGATGTAAATATCTACAGGACTGTCACAATTTAGTGTAATTAGCAAACCCTTCATAAAATGTAAGTGATACTTAGCTTTTATTGAGTGCAGTATTCCTTGATTTTGGAGTAGGGTAATGGATGTACAGTTTATTAGTAATTATGTTGTATACATGCCACTGAATTTCCAGCATCCTTAGTTACAGATCTTTGCTGGATTCTCAAATTTGCCAGACCCAAATCTATAAATTGCCTTATATTCTTGGGAAAGATAGAGTAATTCTCCGTTTTTTCTGATATGGTTTTGAATGTGGAGTAATCTTTCACCTAGACTGGCTGCCACCCAATGCTAGAGAGCTTGATCTACCTTCTAGAAGAGGAGACAAATTATTGTCTTTTTCAATGCAACAAATTGAATTTGAACCCTGCTTGCTGATTCCATGTTTCTGATTTGATAATTGTTAATACCTTCTTCAGGACATGGGCAATCAATACTCTCTCCAACTTCCTATCCTTTGCTAATCTAAGCAATATTTGTCTCCTTACTATTCACCCTAACCCCACCCCCCCTTTAGGGATGCAAAGGGTAATTATCTACCTTTTGAGAAGATGAATTCACTAGGTTCATATGACAGGCAGTGAGTGATGTCAGCTGCTATTTAGCAAGACATGTCTGCTGATACAGTTACTATGTAGACAGCAGAGAAGCAAAACATGACTGCTCATGGCAGTTAAGTCGATTGATTAATTGATTTGTTTTTTATGGCTTACCAACCCATTGCAGATTATTTGAAGCCCGAAAATATTTTTAGAATGTAAGAATTTTGTGTGGGGGGGAGTTAATAATGGTTTAGTGACACAAGTATTACTAATTAACCCATAATTAGGGGAGAAGAGGTGAATTCAAATCTGTCCCAAGTCTATTTTTCTGTAAGTGAATATAACAGACCCAATGAGAATTGGAACTCAGATTGCAAATTAATAATTTCAAGCCATTATGCATTAAACTACTCACAAATCCAAGCTTACAGCACCTGGTATTCCCAAGCGGTCACCGATCTAGGTATTGACCAGATACAACATTGTTTACCTAAAGATGTTTCAGTGTGATGAGGACATAGGTTATAGCAGAGAAAACCACCTGATATCACAAGGTATGTAAAAGACTCCAGTGATCTGCCTGTTTTTCTGTCAGGAAAAATTACAAGTAAGACCCTTTTGCCTTTTGCCTCTTTCATGCTATATTTGTATGTTATAATTTCTCTGTGTGGGACAAATTAGTGGCATGTATGTATATATCTGTATAAAAAATTATTTGAGTACAATTCATGTTTGTCTTTCCTTTCTTTCAGTTATTCTCTTCCGTCTCTTGTATTAAGGTGTTGGCATATCAGAAATATACTAACACCTGTAATGGGGAAATGGAAACTGGAAATATTCCGTCTCCTAACACCACAATTACCCTGTTCTGTCATCCATGTTTTTTAATTTTATTTTTAAAGCAATTCACCCCTAGCAAGGTGGGAGTGCCACTAGCATGCAAGGGGTTACAGAGGATTGAGAACAAGAATAAAGATGCGTGTTTGGGGAAAGGATGCAGAGAAATACGGGGAACAAACTCTGGGTGTCAGATGTCGATTGACTTTACATCTGAATATTTGAAGATTATAGTCATTGGGGAAGCAAGTAAGGGGAAAGAAGTTCCACAGATGGGAAGTGCAGGAGAAGAAGCTGTTTGAGTAGAAGAGATGGTTACATTTAACCATTTTGACAGTGAGAGGGTGGGACCGAGATGCCAGCCTGGTCGCTCGCTTAAATTCATGCAGTCCAGGAACCAGCAAAAGTAGCTCATTGGAACAGTTGCCATGAAAATACTTGTAGAAGAGACAGAGAGAGGCCACAGCATGTCTGTGGGATAGCAATTGTAGACTAAATGCCAGATCAGGACCTATCATATTGCATATTCATCTCTGGGTTTTGTTGAGGGCCTCGAGACATACAGCGGGAACACCAGACACAAGCTCATTATATTTCTCACTGTTTCCCTTTGCTCTTCTTGCTTTAATATGTCCTGTTAGTGTCAGATTCTCCAAGCTTTCTTTTCTCATTGCTGTCTCAAAAATTTCAACTTTCTCTCTGATTCTAAGCATTGTGTCCTTTTTATTGGCATTTTCCTTAAAACTTCATATACATACTATGGTGTATATGTGTGTGCATATATCTGTGTGTGTGCTAGTGTGTATGTATGTGCATATGCAGGTGTATATGTGTGCGAGTGTGTATTTGTATGTGTGTATGTTATGTATTTGCATGTGTACGTCTGTTCATGCCTTTGTGAATGTGTGTATGTATTTGTGTCTGTGTGTGCATGCATGTGTATATGTGCATAGTATAAATAAATATAGCGATTAATAGCACGAAAAACGTATTAATTACTAAACCAAATAAAAATTCCACTTTAAACTGCTTATATCACTCAAGAAAGAAATGAACTGAACAGTTCTCCCTGCAACTAAGAAGACAACGGTTTGTCATTGGTCCACTACTACAGTAGATAGATAAAACAGGGTGTAAGCACATTGACAGTCTGCCCTTGCATCAATGCCTTAACAACACAGATGAAGCATTATGACTAACCCATGGTGTGACTAAAATGTTCCCATCCATTTTATAATATTAGGTTGTCACACATGAAATGAGGCATTTTTTGGTTGGTTGTTAATTATGTCATCTAACTGATGTAATGGAATAACCTGTCACACTCATAAGTGACTACACTATAGGTAATAACTACCTATAAGTATTTGTAAGTCAACGTACTATGGAGACTAGTTGGTATCTGTTCCAGCTAGACCATCAAACTCTCTGCCTTTGAGGAACCTGTACGAGGCTCCGCCGAAGGGCAGAGTCTCATTCAGGGAGGTAGACTGCCCCTGAACTCATTTATATGGGTTTGAAAGGGAATATTTTTGGTCTCGGAGAACCTATGTTAAACCGGCCTTGTGCCACAGGCAACCCTCATGGGGGGTAGCTAAATATACTAACTAGGATCTGTTGAGTACGACTCAAACTTATGCGAGAACTACCAACCTTTCAATAGTAGTACTAACCAGGCTCAACATTGCTTAACTTTGGTGGTTGTACAAGAGCCAGTGTTTTCACATGATATGGCCATAAGCCCTAAAAGTAAGAAAAGGACATATTTATAAATCTTTTCTCTTATTTGATGGACAACCCATGACTACATAACATACACAGAACAGAGAAATGTATGTAGACACAGCATTCTTATCACAACAGCACCAGGGTTATTGCTTTTAACCAAATATCTCTTATTTTTGAGACAGACTTGTCACAATTTCCGCATCATGGACCCTTACTGAGTATCCAATGTCTCAGAGAATTCTGCAAAGAATCCCACACAATGCAAACAAAGAAGAGGATGTTTTTACTAATATCGGTTGACTTTGGGAGTCTGCCATTGTCAAGTATTTTCCACTTCCCAGATGAAACCATACAGTTTCAACTGGAAGTGTTTCCATGACACCCCAGGATATGTGAAGCGACCGTATCCTATCTTTAAAACTTTTTCTTTTCACACAATATTCACAAATGATTGGATCTTGCTAATCTTTCCCAGTTTCTTTGTTGATATTTTCTCACAGCCTAATGATACAGATGAGTGTTCTTTTGTAAGTGATTATCTCTGAAAGGTATTGACAGACAAGGGGAGGTAACTTGTATGTGTTTTGTTATCAATTAAGTTTCTATGATTTTGAAATTTTTATTGGCTTCCACCAAATCAATCATAGTATAGGTGCTAGCTCCTAGTCAGCTGAAACTTAACCTTATTATTATTGCTTTCGTCTGTGATGTGAAAGCATCCTGCTAGTGAAAAACTTTTAGTGCAATTCTTCAGGAAACCCAGACAATATAAATACAGATTCTTTATTTGACACAAATTACCTGTTAAAAGTTGCTGTGATTTTTCAAAAGTTGTCGTTCATCTGAATCTCTAAATTTAACTTGCATAGAATGATTTTGGTATTTAGTTCCATTCTCTGGTGTGAGATATTTCTTTGCTTGTCAGATTGGATCTTTTTCTTCTTCTTCATTAATGGTCTGTATTCCTTCAGAATGTAGGTGATCATGGCCCTCCACGACTTCTTATCTTTCATAGCTCTAAGCAACATTTGCCTCCTTACTACTACTCCTAGCCCTTGTTCTGCTATCCATTTCCACAAACACATTAAGTAGGTTTTGTACTGCTTCCCTTTCTCCCGTTTACTTTTAATATATCCTAGAAGTATAAAATTT